CCCCCCCCCCCCCACCATAATCCATATTTTCCCCATTATAATATTTTATCCAATACAAAATAATATATATATCTATCTATATATATATGTATATGTGTGTATAAAAAGATTATTCGTCACAATTTCTTGTATGTTTAGTATTGGTGTGATTTTACACTGCCCAATGAGCGATTTGGAAAATTCATTTTAAATAACAATTATTTAGATACTGCCTACTGGTGCATAATATTTTCATTTGTTTTCAAATTTACACATTAATCCAATGACTCTTCATGCACGACGTCCGTCTTCAATCTCTCCATATTCATTAAAGACTTAGAACACCAAAAATACAATTCATTCATGACCTAATTACTGACGTTAATTTTTCGTTTCCTTCAATGTACTTTAATACTAGTGGAAATAACGAATAGAAATAAATTATTTTTGAAAGAGAAAGCACGTATTTTAATTTTTTTTTTTGTTTCTAAAACGTAACACAAAAAAGAAAAAAAAAATCAGAAGAAACTGAACAATCAAGGACTATTACTTTTAATTATTATTAAAGAAAATAGAAGTAAACTATTTGCAATGATTCTGGTCTAATTTTTGTAATAAGAGAAAATAAAATAAATAAATTTATAAAAATATTTGGGTGATATTATAACAATATAAATTTTTTTAAAAACAGGAATCTAAAATTCAAATTTATATCCATGTATACATCTTGGTCCACAAAACTTCTCTATATATTATTACAGAATTATTTCATCTCTCCGTTATATTATACATCATTTAGCATGATTACTCACATAAAATATATGATTTCCCATGAAAAAGATATATGAATTAAAAAAAAAAAAAAAAAGGAGATCCAAGATCTCATGTATGTTCACACACACTACTAGCCAAACATGAGGCAACAAAAATAAAAAATAAAATTAAAAACAAATGGAGGCAATGCGTGAAATGCACGCGCTTTTGGGTTGATGGCACGTGTCCCTAACCGGAGAACCACATCTGAGAATGAAGACATTGATAGACGACAACTCCTCATCACGGTTGTCTTTTTTTTTATTTTTTTTTTGTATCATTGCAAATTGTTTATCTCAACCAATATGTTCGGATTCCATAAGTGATGTATTATATGCTTTTGTTTACATATAAATATTGTATAATATAGTTTATATACAAAGAATGTTTTGTGAAGGCCACGTCTGTGACATGCCAGGCTACATATTCTGATGCAATGGCATACGGATAACAATACTATATCAGTACGGAAACATAGAGATGCACGTACGTATCTATATGTATGTATGTATGTACGTATGTATATAGGGTAGATACAAAAATCACTCTTGAGAAATTCTCATCTCTCTCGAGGGTTTACACCAAAAGAAAAAAAAAATCATCATTACCAATGCCTTGACTTTGAGGTCCAAGTCAAAGTTCCTACCAAGAGCCATACATACATATGAATTAATCATCTAAACCTCCGCTTGGTCTCTCCGTAAGCAACCACGCCCAGCACGGTTATGGTGTATCCGCCTATTCCCATCACAGTGACCGGATTTCGGAAGAGAAGGATCGATATCACCACCGCCACTGCTCCTTTCGCATTCCCAAGCACCTGGAAGAAGCAACAGACGAAAGATTTTCAAGGCTGTCCCAGCTCAAGATTCAAAAACCGGATGAACCCTATATGATCTTCTATGGACTATATGATTGCGGGGTTTTTTTTTTCAACGAAAAACGAACAAACGAGACCTAAACTGACTTCAGAGGAGGATACCATTCTAGTGACTAAAATCTTGCAAGTTCAAGGGTCCTCCTTTGGTAGTTTCCCTTCAGCTTTCAGTTCCAATACAAGAGATGTTTATGGAATTTACAAGAGCTAAGCCAAATAGACAGCCTATATGAGGAGACAGGAGAGCACACGGTGAATGTAATGATCAAAAGTTGCAGGCAGAAACATGCGAGGGAATCTACCGTAAAATCTCTACTTGGATATGGAACATAGAGAGCACTCCAAATTAGGATGATCAATGCAGGAAAGGAAACTGGTTTGGAGAGAGAGAGGTACCTGGAGGGTAAGTGCACTGGTGTGCTTGGTCACCAAAAAGTTCAACAAATTGGCTGAATACGCCATTGCTGAATTAAGCAGAAGAAGCACCCACATGTACTGATGCTGTCTTCCGAGTGATAGAGTTACACTGATCACATCAGGCTCCATAATAAGCGTAACGGGCAAAAGGGCTATGACGGCAATCGGGGACATGTACAACAACAAATTCATCGAGTTCAATTTTTCCCTGTAGACGGAATAAAAGAGAGCTCAGACATCTAGTATGAAGTAGTAGGTGGACATCAGATTGGCCAAAGAATCTATCAGTTTCTCACCCAGAGATATACAACTTTCCTCGGAAATATGTAGTTTCCAGGAAATATTTAACATAAAATCTAACATCACAAGTATATAACATGGTATTCTAATGGATCTCGACCCGAAGGACTATTTTCATTTACGAGGGTTCTCTAGATTAGGTAAACAGAGCTTCTTGATTTGTTCATCCGACTGGTGGCAGAATCTAACTCTCTCATGACAACCGACAAGAGTCGACAAACAAACGCAAAGTAGTTAGATTTACCCTTCAGAAGAAAGAAGGATGCCCTGAAGGACCGATTTGAAGGCCCTTGCTGCCGTTGCACTAATGCACATAATGAATCCAAACCAGTGAAAACTCGGCTCACCCTGCCACCAGAGAGGTGTTCTACATCAGGATCACACATACAGAATGGATGAACCTTCTCTCCACAAATGAAATGAATCAACAAACGGAACAATAACATGGTAGAACGACTCGATAACCTCTAAAAGAACCAAACACAAAACAAGATAACACCTTGTTAGGACAAAGTAAGAATGTGCACCACAAGATTAACAGGATATGCAATTTGTTCTTAGAAATTGGGGATCTACCAAATTTCCCACCTCAGAAATCCATAAAAGGTTAAAACTTTAGCTAATTCAGGAGTTTTTCTACATTCAAGCTCTAGCCTTTTACAGTTAAACGAAAACTCAACGTAATACCACAGATGCATAATCAAGGAAGATTCTCAGACAGGCGGAACACAAATATCCAGACATTCTTGCAACACAAACATTTGACCCTTTTCCCCTTTCTTGCACTTTTCGTCAATGCTCCTATCTAACAGCGGATCAGACAGCGGAATTTATTCCGAAATCTAGGAGCCTGAAATCACTGACAACACCCAGAATCCGACAATCGTGAAACCAAGGAACGAACACATATCAACACACAAACATCCAACAATTACAAGATTAAGAAGAGAAAAAGCATACCCCACTTGCGACGACGACACCGGCGACAACGGGGACGAGAGCGCCATAGGTGACCCAAGCTTCTCTCTTGAAGGTCATGATATAGGCGAAGAGGGCGGTGAAAAACGGCGTCGTAGCGCCGACGGCCTGGTTGAACGAGACGGGGAGGTAACGGAGGGAGATGTTGCCACCAACGACGGAGCCGCAGAAGACGATGCTAAGGGTCGAGACCTTGAGGAACTGAGAGCGAGATTTGAGAGATTGGAGAGGAACAAGCTTGAGGAAGACAATGGAGACGTAGCTGAGGATCGAGCAAGCGGACATGTGACACATTGTGAGGAAGATTGGGAATTTGAATCCGTAATTGGAGAGGAGGAACTTGTTGAGGAGAAGAACACCAATGTTGGACGAATACCAGAGGATGATCAGAGAAGAGAGGAAAAGGGTTTGCTTCTTCGGCGATGAAGACGACATTTTCGACCCGCGATCTGGTTTTTGCCTTCGTATTTGGTTGGATTCCTTGGGGGAGAAAACGGAAGAAAACGAGAGAGAGATTAGCTCCCAACCTCCTCGACCATCAACGAAGAAAGCCCAGATGAAACTTTTCTTTTCTTTTCTCTCTCTTTTAAATGCTTCAATAACTGTTGCTTCTTTTCTTTGGCATTTATTTTTTGAAGCGTTATATATACTGTCTGAGATTATTTAATTCGATATATATACCCTTTTAATTTCAAAATTCACACAAATAATCCGTTTTTTTAATAGAAAATCTTCCAATATTTAGCATTTTTTAAATGAAGTATAAATTGTATTCTTTGTTATTGTTGAATCAACTGAATTTTTATAAAATAAAAATAATTATGGCAAAAAATGAGATTTTATGGAAATTTAAGTCAAAAGAGCCAATTTCAAATTGATTCTGATATTAAACATCAATATATATATATATGCATGTATATACAAACTGGAATGAAATCATGAATTTTGAAACAAACTGCCAATATAGATTGGATACATTACTGAAATAGTTTTGAGACAAATAATTTGAATAAAACAGATGTGATCTTATATCTTTCTGTAAGTATCATACCTTTTAATGCGGCACAGATATTATACTGACTAAAATATTTTAGAGAAAAATAAAATAAGTAGTATATCTGTTTATAAATATCATGCATTTTAATACAAAATTAAAGTTTTTCATCAATTTATATCCCTAATTTATAGGTTAAATTTGGGAATAAATAAACGAAATTCGATGTGGTTTATTTTAAATTCGAATTATGGATAAAGATTGAACTAAAATACATTCCGTTGAATTTTTTTTTCTTTGTTTTTATAATTACAACAAAAAAGTTGAAAATCAGAGGAACAAAAACGGATTGTATTAAGAAAAAGGCATTAAGTGGGCTTAGAGACAATTTACTTTTAGGTATTTGGATTTTATAGTCTTTTTCTAATATTTTTCTAATTTGGTGTAATGGTTAATTTTTTTTTCCCAACTTATAATTTTGTAGTGAATTTTCTTGTGTTATTATGATTTGTGAAAGAATATTTTTCAAAGTAATTTATTCAGAATAGTGAATGAAGAAATTATTTATTTCATATTTTAAATACTAAAATTATGTGTCTAAAGCCTGTTTTATTGGAAAAAATATAACTCTTTTCCTAATTAGAATTAGATTTTTGTAAAAGTCCGTTCACTTTATTTTTCTTAAAAAGGTGCATACATGAACGTGGTCGGTGGAGGCGAAGGTTCGAGCTTACGTGTGCAGTGCCTACCAATGTTGGCCACATATTTACAGTTCTACCCTTCATTACGCGTACAAGTAGTGTTGTAGACTTTTTTCCTCTGTGGCATTTCCGTAAATATTCGGAGTTCAAAGCCTAAACTCTTAATCTCCTTCGTTCTGTATATATGTAAATATCTGACGCAGCTCAATGACAATTACTATCGCGTTCCATCTCTAGTTACACAAAAAAAAAAAAACGGTGATCGATGTCCGGTGGTTACCCTCCTCCGAGCCATGGCTACGGTTACGGCGGGTTGGCGTTCCAAACGCAGTCGCGGAAAAAGTTCAACTAAGCTTTGTGAATCGACCGATTTTGGATATGAAATCCACCTCGTTTCGGGTTTAGGATAATATAATCTCTCTTTCTTCAATTCCCATTTATTTTTTTTATATGAATCTCTTCATGTTATTATCTGTCTCGTTGTTTGAAATCATTTATGAATTCGGTTTTAATTTTTCTCCCTTTGAAAAATTTCTCGGGTTTAGGATATATCTTAATTTTTTCACGAAAATAATTAAAAAATATACTAAATATTTATTTTTCAAATTTCATTTTGATTTAAGTTTTATCAATAGGATTAGATATGGATTTGATTATCCAAGATTTTGGGAGGCCCTACTAATCAGCAATTATTGGAGGCGAATTTGTTTTACAATTAATTGTACTTTAGTGATGATTAATAAATATCCCAACATTGGTAAATTTCAAGGCCCAGACTCAAGGCCCAATAAAAAGAGAATAAAATTGAAGCCAATCTCCGAGAAAATCGAGTCCGTTGGTCTGAATTCTCTCACATGGCATTGGACGGCTGAGATGTGTTCTCTAAACATTTGAATTCAAAACACTATGTCGAAGTGTAACGTTACAATTTTTCCTCCTAGGTTATGATTTAACCCGAGCCAGAGCTTCAAATCGAAGAAGCATTTAACACAGATTTCACAGAAAATCAAGAACCGGAAAGAGAAATCATCGATCTCTCTCTCTCTCTCGGGATCTTCCGGACACGGCGGTTATGGCGGTCCTCCTCCTCCATCGTCGGGGTACGGCGGTTACGGAGCTCCGTCGGGGCACGGCGGTTACGGAGGTCCTCCTCCGCCGGGGCCGGGGCCTTATGGGAGTCCGTTTGCGTCGTTAATTCCGTCGGCGTTTCCTCCGGGGACGGATCCGAATATCGTGGCTTGCTTCCAGGCGGCGGATCAGGATGGGAGTGGGTTCATCGACGACAAGGAGCTTCAGGGTGCTCTCTCTACGTATAATCAGAGCTTCAGCTTGAGAACGGTTCATCTTCTCATGTATCTCTTCACCAACAGCAACGTCAGGAAGATCGGTGAGCGTTTCTAGTTTCTTCGAATTTTGCCGGAATTCCACTCGAAACGACGCAGATTATAATATTATTGTGGTTTAATTCTCTAACCAGAACTCGAATTAGGCCTTTGAACCATCCGGATATGAGCTTAGCTCCTTGAAATCGTAACCAAGAATCTGCTTCATCGAAGTTCTAGTTTTTTTTTCTCTTTAATTTAATGGGGTTAGGTTTTAGGGATTTTTCTATGGCATGTTGGCTAATTGACCAAGCTTCCATTTATGGACTTGCCGTGAACTAAGTGCACACGCATTCCCTTCAATTATATGCTGAATCTTCGATTATTAATATTATTATAATTGTAGTTGTGATAATAAAGAATGATTCTTGCATAGCCTGGCTTTGGATTGAGCTTTCATTTCTGAAATAAAATTGTGCTGTCGACTCTGATAATCCATTGTCGCAGGTCCAAAGGAGTTCACTTCGCTATTTTACAGTCTTCAGAGCTGGAGGGTAAGTTCAAGTGCGTAATAGTGTTTATGAAAAACTATTAGTCGATGTTATTGGCTTAAAATGGCGAGATTGTTGTATGTTGGTTTTTGGGAATTGGTCAGTCCATTTTCGAGAGATTTGACAAGGACAGGAGCGGTAGGATAGATGTGAACGAGCTGAGAGATGCACTCTTGAGCCTCGGCTTTTCCGTGTCGCCTGTGGTCTTGGATCTGCTGGTTTCCAAGTTTGACAAAAGTGGAGGCAAGAACAGAGCCATCGAATATGATAACTTCATCGAGTATGCTAGATTCTTTTCTTCTTTTTTTTCGCTATCCTTTCGCATTCTCAATTCAATGCCAGATCTTTGCTAATGTTTCCGGAAATTCCGTTTTGCCTTTTTATGCAGGTGCTGCTTAACGGTCAAGGTACATCATCTATCTGTTTACCCCCATCAATGTGTTATGCCATTTGGGTTTTTGATATGAAATTGGACTAAGTGGTTGTATCGATAGAGACTGAAATCTAATCAGTGGCATCTGAATTCAAGTTTCTTCCTTTCCTGAACATAGAATTGTCTCCTGGGGTTAGGGTATAATATAAAGGTCATCAATGATGGATTCATCATCCCTGTTTGCTCCAATTTTGTCAAATGGATTCATTATCCATTGTAGCTGAATATAAATGATTGGGAAAACTGCAGGGACTGACGGAGAAGTTCAAGGAGAAAGATACGTCATACTCTGGCTCGGCTACGTTCACTTACGAAGCCTTCATGCTCACCGTTCTTCCTTTCCTCGTCGCATAAGGAGGAAGGTTGCGGAGGTAATATTCCTTACCTCACTTTCTCGGGTTTTCTTTGAACAGGTTTTTACCGCGTGAATGCTCGAATTCTTGTTTTCTTTGTTAAGAATGTGTATTCGGATTTCCATGGGAAAAACCAATCTGGCGTTTTCCCATTTCCTCGGATCTCATGCTGTTCTTGCCTGATATGCAAGTCTAGGGATGAGCTTGTTTCTTTTCTTAATACTCGCGAAATAAACCGAGACTAGTGTCTTATGATGAGTCCTCGCATCTGATTTGATTCAAGAAATATAATACGGGCTTGACGAGGGCCAGAGCTGCTATGCAAGAGTTGTAATGAAGAAAATGCAAGAGATCACTGTCAATACAATGACATCTGTCCTCTTGTCTCATATAAACCCGTGTGTGGATATTGACAATCGATATCCGAAATGCAAAGATCGAGTTCTCATGTCATCAACCATCCCTTTAAAATCATGCTTTTTTAAATATTTATGATATATTTAATTTTATCATATGGGAATTATATCAATTTTCTTCATCTTAAGTGTCTACATCTATATGTAACCATAACGGATTGATGATGAAATAGATATTGCTTTTAAGATATAGTGATGGACTGGCTAGAGGAAAATATTCTTCTCAACGCTTTTCAAATATTATACGATACACCCATTTATATACAAAGATGCTGAACATATTCGAGTAATCATTGAAAAGATTAATTGATAAAATTCAGAAAAAATAGATTGAAAGATATTAAATGTATTGTATATAATCCATATTTTATATAATATAATATAAAATAAAAAAAATGTTTTGTAATTTTGTTAGATAAAGAGATTATCTAAAATTTTGATCACGTAATATTATATTTTAATCAATTTAAAATCACAAATTCGTCAAAAGTCTCTAAATTCACAGCTAAATATTTACTTTTCTGTATTACATATTACACCAGATTATCAATAACGTTTTATGAAGACAAATGTTATAAAAAAGAGACTGATTTCCATGCATTTTGAAATATTTCACATAATAGACTTTTTAATTTTCAATAGAATAATTCAAACCCTTCAAAAACAATGGAGGAAAAAAAAGAATGAAGGAATGAGAAGGAGACATGTCATCTTTACGATCAGACAAGATAGGTTCCAATCATAGCAGAATGGCGATCGATCTAAGTGGAAAAAACCAGGAGATGACAGCTTATGAACCCTAATCCTGTTTCGCTCCATTTCTCTGTCATCATCTCTAAAACAGAAGAAATATATATATATATATAAAACATTTTTTAAAATAAAAAATAATAATATTCTTCTTCTTACAACGATTCCTCTTATCTTCTGATATGATCTCTTCCCCTTCCCTTGTCGGATTCGAAGTTAAGCTCTCTCGGATTTGTTGTCTCCTCTCATGGGTCCCCCTTTGGTGTTTTTGCATGGAACATCGAAGAACATAATAATGCAGCATCCACATGCATGGAAACAAACAAGCTCCCGATCTCTGAAATGGGGCGCAGAAACAACTTTTACACCTTCGTGATGGAGTTCGGTTTTTATATCCAGGTTCACTCTCAGATTTCGTACGGTTTACAGGCTATCAATAAAAAATCAACCCAAACCGATAAAACATGGGACAAAGATGAAATTACGGTGAATTTTCGGATTATAAAAAAAAATCTAAAATTTTGAGCGAATTTTCCACTTACTTTTTTTTTTGGGTCGGATATCAACCGTTGGTAATATATTTATGGATGTGAATCAGTCTGCGAATTCTATTTATATAATATATTGATGATCATATTTTTTTTTATATAACATGATGAAAATGTTATCTGGAATTGGCCCAGCAACAAGAATCACCACAAATTATTCATGAACAGTTTGATAGAATTGAACTTGAGGTGGGGGCTACAACTCCAGTCTCAGACAATGAACTTCTGCACCAGTAATTTTCCCCACATAAATCTATGTGTGTGTGTGTATATATATATATATATATATATACATACACACCACATGGTCAGAAACACAGAGACAGAGACATGACAGAGCACACTGAAGTAGTGAACTGAAACTGATCCCTGTTTCTTCTGCAGAACAGAAAAGCTTCTCTTTTTTTTTTCCCACCGTCTATGGCGGAAACTTCGGTGACTGTCGTGGCTAAGCGTTTGAACGGTGTCTCCTCTGTTTCCACCAACCCGACCCTCGATCCTTACGTCAAGTTCCTGCAAAAATCCAACAACATCGACGTCTCCTTTTCCTCGTATCTCAAGCCAGACGAAAAACATCGAGAACAAGAGCGAGAAGAAGAAGAAGAAGAAGCAGAGTTAAGTATCTTCGATGCTCGCAAGTACTTCAGCGAAACCGCAACTGGTCACTGCCTTAAGGATTCTGCTTTGAATCCTCCGAGATTCTCCTCTGCTTCTTCCGCCAATGTTTCTTCCTACAGTGCGTCTTTTCCCGCGGGACATACGGCTTCTTCTGAAGCCAGTTGGAACAGTCAGACCGGACTGCTCGCCAAACTCTCTCGAGACAGTAACCGAGTTTCCGACAAAGATCAAAACCGGGGGACCATCAAGAAAGGATCTTCTTCCGGACCCAGATGGCTTTTCAGACGCAGATCTTGTCCTTGTTCGAGCGCCAAATCAGTTCAAGTCCAAGAGAACAGGTCAAGAACTGTCGAGACCAAACCCCATTCCCCTGATCGGATCCTTCAGGTGAGCGTGAATCCCGTTTCTTTGACCGGAAGCACCCCGACCCGGACGATGACGGGCGTTCATCATCAGACGATTTCTTCCTCCGATCCGATCAGAGTAACGATCCCTTCGAACCCTGTCATGATTCGCGGGTTGAAATCCATCGATGACTCGGCTAGAGAATCGAGAACTTCCAATGGCGGTTTCAGCTTCCCGATTCTGACCCCTCCATCGTCTGAACAAACGACCAAACCTGTTCCGAATCCGACAGCAAGTCCCAAAGTGAGCAAAGACGAAGATGCGGCCAGTGACGCCAGTTCCGATCTTTTCGAGATCGAAAGCTTCTCCACGTCTCGCCCGTGTGCTCCACGCGCCGGTCCCGGCGATTCGATGGACGATTCAGCGACGGAGTACGGTTACGAGCCGAGTGAGGCCAGCGTCACGTGGAGTGTTACGACCGCAGAACCAGCTGTTGCGGTTGCGGTTGCAGACGCTGCGGCTGCCAACTTGGCATCGCTGGCATCCGGCGGTTGCGGTAAGAGAAGAACGGCCGGGAACGCGTTTTTGAGCTGCCGCTGCGAGAAAGCGGTCATGGTGAGCGGCGGTCAGCGGCAGGTGGAAGGAAAGAGCGTTGGCGTTCCAAACGCAGTCGCGGAAAAAGTTCAACTAAGCTTTGTGAATCGACCGATTTTGGATATGAAATCCACCTCGTTTCGGGTTTAGGATAATATAATCTCTCTTTCTTCAATTCCCATTTATTTTTTTTATATGAATCTCTTCATGTTATTATCTGTCTCGTTGTTTGAAATCATTTATGAATTCGGTTTTAATTTTTCTCCCTTTGAAAAATTTCTCGGGTTTAGGATATATCTTAATTTTTTCACGAAAATAATTAAAAAATATACTAAATATTTATTTTTCAAATTTCATTTTGATTTAAGTTTTATCAATAGGATTAGATATGGATTTGATTATCCAAGATTTTGGGAGGCCCTACTAATCAGCAATTATTGGAGGCGAATTTGTTTTACAATTAATTGTACTTTAGTGATGATTAATAAATATCCCAACATTGGTAAATTTCAAGGCCCAGACTCAAGGCCCAATAAAAAGAGAATAAAATTGAAGCCAATCTCCGAGAAAATCGAGTCCGTTGGTCTGAATTCTCTCACATGGCATTGGACGGCTGAGATGTGTTCTCTAAACATTTGAATTCAAAACACTATGTCGAAGTGTAACGTTACAATTTTTCCTCCTAGGTTATGATTTAACCCGAGCCAGAGCTTCAAATCGAAGAAGCATTTAACACAGATTTCACAGAAAATCAAGAACCGGAAAGAGAAATCATCGATCTCTCTCTCTCTCTCGTACTCCCATTTTCTCGTCCTTTCTAGGGTTTTCGTTTGGGCTTCTTAGGGGCTTCGAGAATTTGTATGTCTAATCATCTCTTGATTTGTTTCCTTTGTCGATTCTTTTTGAAGTTTTTGAAATCTTGATTCAATGTGACAGTTTCGGGAAGAAAACGAGAAGTGGGTTATGATGACGAGCTTGAGAACTGGATCGCATGACTTTAATTTGGCCTCAAGAAGAGCCGAGGAAGCGGGTTCGTGACCCTTGTGAAATCTTGTCTCTTTGTCTTCTTCTGCGTTCTTGTTCTGTTTGGATTCTGAGAAAGTGGCCTAATTTTCCTTTTTGGTTACAAAGGAAAACGAAAAGGAAACCCAAATTCTCTGTTTTTGATCCCCCTCGGGTTGATTGTCTGTTGCTTTCGCAGGAATGAGGCGATTTCAAGCCGTGGAATGGCTTCATTCCACAGTGGGTCCACTCGGTATCTCGACTAAGCCGTCGGAGAGAGAGTTTATTTCTTGCCTGAGAAATGGACTTATACTATGTAATGCGATTAACAAGATTCACCCTGGCGCTGTTTCAAAGGTAATTTTGCTTTCTTTACTCAGAATCCTCTATTGGGCATGGAACAGTTTTGTTGTTTAGTATCTTTTTCGGGATGATTTCGAGACAGTGAATAAATCCAATGGATTAGTGTTGTGAATGAGCTCTTGGTGATGTCTTGCATTTTTTTTCTTTTCAATTTTACATAAGGTTGTGGAGAATTATTCGAATATGGAATCATTTATCCCTCAGTATCAGCCTCCTGCTGCTTATCAATACTTTGAAAATGTCCGAAATTTTCTTGTGGCATTGGAAGACTTAAATCTGCCAGCTTTTGAAGCTTCTGATCTCGAAAAGGTAAATATTGTATTATTTTTCTGAACTCCACAACATGAAGTGATGATCTTTTCGCTATTGTGTAATTGAATTCGACATGTTATGTTACAGGATGATCTAGAGTCTGGATCAGTAGCCAAGGTTGTGGATTGCATTTTGGGTCTTAAGGCGTATAACGAGTGGAAGCTAACAAGCAGTGGCAATGGATCTTATAAGCACATTAAAACTCCTACGGCTCAGTATTCTGCCACTAAGATCCAGCAGCAAACTGCTTCGAAATCGTCTAGGCATTTGGACATGCCCTCTTTTCGCGACGGAAAAGAGTTCAAAGATGATGAAAGCAATAAACTTAAAGGTGTGATCTATGTTTCCCTCCATTAAAGCCTCACCATGAGGTGACATTCTAGTTGTTTATTTGGAATGTGAAACTTAAATTCTCGGCTTTACATGATATTTTCCTTTTCTACTTGTTTTGGAATGAATACTTGTAGATGTCATAGCGAAGTTGCTTGTTGGTGAGATAATTGAATCCAAGGAAAACACTGATGAGAATCGTACTTCTCTTGCTATCGGTAGCGAGGTAAGTTAAACAGTTCTGCAGCATTTTTCTGTATGTGGATGTTCTGATTTTTTATACTTTAAACAGTTATGAACTTGTTTCACTCAATGGTGTTCTATGGATTGCAGAATTCAAGAGAATATTTCAAGAAAATCATTGCAAGTTTCGTAAATGACAAAGTAGGACTAGGGTCCCCAGAGGTGAGTTGAGAACTTTTGTATGGAGTCGCCAGAGGTTAACTGTAGGTTTTATCGTTTAAAAGTCAAACATTTACATGCTACAATCTGCAGCTGGGTTGATTAAAAGTTTGAAAAACAGCAAATGTACGCTGCCTTGTGGAATCGTGGACTCAAATGGGTTTGAATGAATTGATCTAATCTGACATCTCCAAAGAAGACAAATCTAGCTTTGATAGATTGGAACATAACTAATGGAATCTGCGCTTCAATGTTGATAAACAGCTTCGTTCCTTCTTAACGGATTTTCTCAAAGAAGATGACTGCACACCATCAGGTTTGAAATCTATGCCCCTGGGGGAGTTATCTTTTCATGAAGAATACCAGGTTTTTTCATTTCCTCTCTCTTTTTCATGTTTGAGATACATTAAGACTTGCATAATGTTTCTGCTAAACATGAACATTGTTGCAATACATCTTCATGACCCATTTTCTCAAGTCTTTTCCCTATGTCTCACATGTCTATGTGTTTTGTGTTTGCACATGACTTCTGTTCTTTCTTTTTCTTCATTGTTTTCTTCTCTTTCTGGTTGTCAGTGTTCTCTTTCACATGTTTGTAAAACCAACTGCTTGTAAAGTACTTTCTCTTTTTCCTGGCCTACAAGTGTTCATGCACAAGTTAAGGAATTTACTCTGACAAACAATTCTTTTGTTGTTTCTCAGTGCTGTAGAACTTGCCCACAAAAAGGCAAATGCAACCACAAGCGTTTACTGAGAACACAAGAAAAGGGACTTGCGGTAGGTTTGCTTTTATGCAATGCTTATGATGAAGTTCCGCTAGGTTTGATCAACGAAGACTAGTGTCTTTCTCAATTCCGTCACCTTTGGTGCACTCTTTAAACAATTTCACTCCAAGTTTGTGTCACGAGTTCTTTCTTATCCGGGATGATTCATTCTCTCTTTATCAACTTCAATGCTTAATTGTTTGTGTTAGAGTATTGGTTCCTAATTTATTATATTCTGATTCTTCATCTTGTTCACAGGATCTCAAGACTTTGTTTTCAGAAACCAAGCAAGACTTTGAGAATTTTCAGCTTCATTTGCAAAGAGACTTGAAGGAACTAGGTTAGTTTTATTTTCTGGGTTTTCCTGTCTTTACGTTTTTGTGCAATTTTTTGTCCTTTCTCTTTGATATAAGGCTTATTTTTAAAATGTAAACGGTTTCTTGTTCTTCTTCAATATTGTTGCTATCACGTCCTTCTTACACTCAGGGAATCGGGTTCAAGAGATGTCATCAGCTGCATGTGGATATCAAAAGGTGGTGGAAGAGAACCGGAAATTATATAACATGGTGCAAGATTTAAAAGGTAATAACAGTTTTGAGACCGAAGGAGCAGTTAATTTGATATGTTTTCTTGTAGGGCCTTGAAGCATTCTAAAATTTGCAGGAAGTATAAGAGTTTACTGCAGAGTTAGACCAATCTTCAATGGTAATTGGAAAGGAGTAGTAGATTCTATAGGTGAAGATGGCTCTTTAGTTGTTTTAGATCCATCAAAGCCTCGGAAAGATGCAAGAAAAATGTTTCGGTTTAATCACGTGTTTGGTCCATCAGCAACTCAAGGTAAATTTCCGCAACTTCAGCAAAGGTTGTGAGTTTATGTTTCAGTTCATTCTGATTTTCTTTTGGTATTATATCCATAAAACTTTCTTATTCTTGTGCACAGATGATGTATTCAAAGAGACACGACCATTGGTTAGATCGGTGATGGATGGTTATAACGTTTGCATCTTCGCATATGGCCAAACAGGGTCAGGGAAAACATACACGATGGTACTAAGTTCTATACCGAATGGATTATCACATCTTTCATATGTGTATATATATCGATTACATACATCTTGCTACTCCAGCTCTTTTTCTTTTCTTTTTTTTTTACTTTTTACTTGGAAGCCATCTACCAACTAAAATATTTATCTTATTACAGAGTGGTCCACCAGACAGAGCTATAGAAATGGGTATTAACTATCTGGCTCTCAATGACCTCTTTCTAATAAGTGATAAAAGGAGGGACATCATGACATATGAGATTTATGTCCAAATGGTAGAGATATACAATGAACAAGTGCGGGACCTTCTTGCAGAAAATTCTTCATCCACTAAATATCCTTTCATGGCTGCTGTATTTTCAATTTTAATGAAGTATTCTCATATCAAATATCTAGAGTTTCTTCTTGACTATATGAACATTAAAAATTCGGAGTTGCTCAAGCGAGGATGGCCTGAGTCTTCCAGATGCTTCAATGCATTTTGTGAAATCTACCATGGATGTCATCAAGCTGATGGAGGCTGGTGAAGTTAATCGTTCTGTTAGCTCCACGTCCATGAACAACCAAAGTAGTCGGTCTCACAGGTAATTAAAACAAAATTAAGTACCACACATTTAGAATTATGGAGTTACTGATTCAAGAAGTGATGAATCGGGTACTCGCAGTATCCTTACAGTGCATGTACGTGGAAAAGATACATCAGGGGCCACTCTCCGGAGTTGCTTACATCTGGTGGACCTTGCAGGAAGCGAGAGAGTGGATAAATCAGAAGTTACAGGAGAGAGACTTAAGGAAGCACAGTACATCAACAAGTCTCTTGCTTGTTTAGGAGATTTGATCTCAGCTTTGGCTCAGAAGAGCTCTCACATCCCATATCGAAACAGCAAGCTGACTCTTTTACTTCAAGACTCATTAGGTTTACTGTCTTATTCAAGTCTCTTCCTTCTCATGCTTTTGCCTTCTTTTTCTCTCTTGTGATATGATACTGCATCTCTTTCTCCTAAGAAAGATTAATATGATTTAACAAAAAAAAAAAGATTTATGTCTTTGCTTCCGTTACTGGATCGCATTTGAATCATTGATGTTAATAAACTCTCCGTCATGTTTTCATTTTAGGTGGTCAGGCTAAAACATTAATGTTTGCTCATTTGAGTCCTGAGGAAGATTCTTTCGGCGAAACAATCAGTACTCTGAAGTTTGCACAAAGAGTTTCAACTGTGGAACTTGGAGCTGCTTGTGCACAAAAAGAGAGTAGAGAGATCGTGCTACTCAAGGAACAGGTAAACAATATTGTTCTTGTCGGGAGATGGTTGTAACATCATTCTCAAACGGACCCTCTTTTAGCAGCTATACAACAAGGAAAGTTTGTTTCTTGTTGACATGAGATTTATCTACTTGTTTAACGTTTTGGCATCCTATTTTCAGATTGAAAGCCTAAAGAAGGCATTGGTTACCAAGGAAGGATATGGCACTTACAGAATAAAGAAGGCAAAATCTCCTTCCGGAAAACCTATAGCGGCAATGGAAAGAACTCCTCCCCGTCTCAGAAGATTAAGCATAGAGAACTGCAGCAATACAATGACCAAGAAAGGGAACTTTGAGGAGAGAAAAGGTTCTAAAAGATTGAGTTTGGAGGGCCCAAAGTCCCCCATGAAAGAAAATGTGCCTGTGAAGACGCAGTTTCTTGATTCAGAAGAAGTGCTTAAGGCTCCTCGAAGTCCTTCTGGCTCTTACCAAAACCGACCAGTGAGAGTAGATGGCAGAACAAGCATACCTCAACTTCAGCTACTGCAAACACCTGTTCAAAGATCTTCGAGAAAAGAGATACAAATTGTAATGCACAATGAACTGACATTTTCTGCAGATTCTCAGACAAATGGAAAAGGGTCTCAAATAAGGAAGTCCCTGAGGACTATTGGGAAGATGATCACTGGTTCAGAGAAGAGGTATGAGGAAAAAACACTTGTCTTTTTAAATATCCAGGATGCTGAATGTTTCATTACTTGATGATTTCTATTGTCCAACGTTGTGATAATACCACAGAAGAGAGAAAAATGCTATTGAACCAAGGTCGCCCATAAGAGTTGCAAATGATTTCATTGATGCAAAGTCACCACATACAAGCAATGCAAGGACGCTTAGGCGCCGATCACTCACAGGTGTAATGCCATTGGGACCAGAGAGATCATCACGGAGATCTTCTATCGGGGGTAAACCAATCAAGAACGGTAATTATATGCCTCTGTTCTTGCTTTCTTTGGGACAGAACAGAAAACTTACTTTCCTTTTTTTTTTTACTTTGTTAGATGTAAATGATGCAAGAAATGCAAAGACACCTCCCCCAACGCATCCATCATCCAGGACAGAAAAGAGATGGCTATAGATATAACTAAGGAGAACACGGTGTTTTGCTTGGCTCGAACTCAAAGCATACGATTTTCAGAAAAGAGATGATTTTGAACCATTCAAGTAAATAAGATTTCAAAGTTTTGATGGTTCTAACTGTAATGGAAAAGCTCATTCCATGGATTGTACCACCACACTCAGGTGTTATGGTTAAATAAAAGCATCATTTCTTACAGTTGTGCGGATTAACCTTCTTGTCGTAGGAATATGTCATTAGATTGAGCAGTGCAGATGCAAGGCCAGAGAGTACAGCTGCAATCTCAGCCTGAGACTTTCCAGAGTTATATATCAGAATTTTACTTCAGAATCCCATGTATATTTTCACAAAGGATGTCTGTATTGTTTGTACTTTTGTGCAGACTATACATACATTCATTTATCAACTTGCAGAAGCATTGGAGAGAGTTGCATAATCTATAGTCCTCTATTTTCTTGTTGGGCCCAGAAGCCATTTCGGCTTGTTGATCAGAAACGTTATGGTAAACTTGGTATCATTTACACAGGCAATATTTCTGAATACAAAATCTCTGTTCTTTATTCACAAGTGTTTCGATTGGTTCAGCTTGTTGTCCACCGTATCTCGACATGTATAACACCGTCCCTTGAATTGATGAGATGGTATTTCTGATTGATCCTCCCGTTTTCAACCACGTCGTCCAGGTTTATCTCTACATGTCCCAAAGGCTCCTACACAGAAGAAGAAGCAGAACAAGAGTGAATGCCCGAAGGGCACAACCATTAGGGAGTACCAACAAAAACTGATGCCAGTTTCAGACAGAGTTTAGGGCATGATCTGTTTACCTTTGAGCGAAAGCGTAAACCAGTTCCTCTACTCATGACCTCGATCCGTAACCTCTCATTCAACGGTGGCTCCTCGAGCGTGAACTGGAATTCCTCGTTCCATCTTGGATCTCGGGTTTTCTTCAACATCTGTGACCCATAACCAGAGGGGTCCCTCATGGTTCTTGAAATAACTCAAGAAACATATACCAAAACACAAGTAAAGAACAATACAGAGTTTAGAAGAGTGCGTTACTTTTGTTTTCTTCTTTTCTCCTCTAAAGAGAAGAAGGGCAAAAGGATTAGTGTGTTTCTTCCCCTCAATATCTTCAGCTGTTTGGATGATAACTGATAGTAGACCAGCCCGGCTGAGAAAATCATCGTTTTCTGATGGTTTCTCGCCTCTGCTTTCTTTTCTCTGATACTGATCCAAGTTTTCATTGCCCATCTTCATGCTTTCTTCTCTGAATGGTACGTACCTTAGCTCCAACTCCAGCCTTCCTCTTCGCTTCTTGTCCTGAGGAATGACGATGTTCGAGTTCTTGAGCAAGTCAAGAACAAAACTTACTTTCTCACCAGGCGTAAGTTTGTGTAAGGGTATCAACTGCATTCCCAGTCTGTCGTGCCCACCAACCTGTTGAATATAAAGGCCAAAACTTACCAACCAAAACTGATGTGGGAAGAAAAGAACTAGTACGAAATGTAAGAGGAGGGACAATGAGATCAAAACCTTGTCCCAATCAAAGACTTCCAGTTGAAGAACTTGCGTTACCGGGTCTTTCACGATGAGCTTAAAGTGCTCATTCCATTCAGGGTTCAAGTTCCTTTTCTTTATGGTGGTTTTCTTTGCCGGAAGCTTCTCTCCCGTCAAGCTAAGTTTTACATAAGGATCTGAAGTTCCCAACAGATCCTTCTTCAGTAGATTGCGTGCACGTATGATGTTCACATGCAGTAAGCCAACAGGCTTCTTCACAGCCACCCTAAGGGGCAGTATATATATAGATATATCAGATAAAAGAAACAGATTCTCATTTCATTCCCAGTTTAATTGCTGAGAAACTTACGTCGAAGCATCAAGAATGGGTATTTCAAGCACTTGAGGCCAATGGTAAAGGCTTGCAATTTGTTTCTTTATGGTTTCCTGAAAAAATGGTACAACAAAAATAAGATAGTTAAACAAACATGACAGAACTTACTCGAGTAGCTAAGATCCATAATCCGGCTCCTACAAATAGGATGATCATTGATACAGCACCTGAACATATCGGTATAGACCCGGAATGGACATGAGATCTCCACCAAGCACTTTCAATCCGAAATCAACGTGAGGCTGAAAACAAAATCAGGAACCATCAATTTGCTCACTTTGTAATCTGCTATTTTAGCTAGAAAAATGCATTCTGATTCTGCCTGTATGAGATTTAGCTACCTTTTCCATCAATGACACCACAACCTTTGCAAAACAAGGAAACGTCGGTACAAGAGGCTTCAGAGCTACACGTGGTGTGGCAAAAACTTGGAGATCTACAAGCTGCAAAGAGAAATAATGGGTGATTCAAAATTTTGCTGATGGAACTACAAGTGTAAGGCTTCTCTCTTTTTGCAATCTCATCATCTCACTCTTTCTGACCTGAACTGTAACTTGAAAAGAGAGCAACTTTAACACCAAAACAATGTTGGGATTGCCTGCCCACCTAATGACGGGTTCAATCACTAGTTCCTTCTCGTTTGTCTCGTAGACTTTCACCCCTACAAACAAGAATACGATATTATCCCATTTCCAGATTAACAACTTCGTGTATTTGGTATAGATCAATGACCAAATAAACAAGGTGGAACTTGCCGTTAACTGTTGGCGGAAGGGTTCCAAGACTCAAATTTTCGAACTCGATTGATTCAATAAGGTACATCCCAATGTAGTCAGCAAATATGGGTTTTGTGGAACTCCGGATGATTCGACAAATTGCCTACAGATGAGGGGAAATACTCAAAACTTAAGACAGGAAGCAAAATGACCTTCAATGGCTGCAAGCTTATGAGAATCAGAATGTGAGAAAACCTTGTCGAGGTAGGGCCACATGTACGAGAGATATCTGTTGAACCAGTCCACCTTAGAAACCAAAAGGATGATCAAATGAGTGGTCAAGCTTAGACACTAAAACGAAACAAAAGTAACTGAATCCTACACGGATCATCACTTACTCGTTCATAATCTGGATTCTTCATCCACAATGGGATATCTGGTAGAAGATCAAGAAGGGCACTGGTGCTAGTCTCAACAATTGGCCTTGCCGGCGGATACTGCAATATGCAAAAGCAGAAGAGCTCAAAACGGAACAAAGGCATGTGCTCCAAACAGAATATAAAATCCTCTAAGATGAAAGCACACACAGTAGATGATCGAATACAAGAACAGAAGCCATCCATAAAGTATCGTCTATATGACCAGTTTTACCATTTGTCTGAAAACGCAAATACGGTGTGCACAACCTCAATGTGTCTGCAGAGAATGCAGAATGATATCGAAGAAAGTGATCATTAACACTGGCAATCACAGAACAGCTTAAGGAATGCATTGGTCTAATCGAAAAACATTAAGCATCTCTACCCAGAAGACAGAGAAGCAAAATTTCGAATCAAAATCACTCGTGTTGATCCAAAAGCCAAAGAGAGACACCAAAGTCGCCACCTTGAACAGTTCCGACGAGAAACATTCATTGAAGCAATCAATCAACACATAGCAGATTCAGAGACAACGCATACATCGACCTAATCAAATAAATCGAAGAGACGAAGAAATAAAAATGGGTACCCAGATGGCGAAACAACAAAACGAATCCAGAAACGGGATTCGAAACAAGAATATGAACAAGCTGAAGAAAGAATCGGAGAACAAGATGAGAGCTTTCAGTGTTTAGTTAATCACCTCTTCGTGTGTGGGCTTCGAATAGACGAAAAAGAGAAAACCCACGATGAGTCCAATGGGGATTCCGATGACGAAGCCGAAGATCCCCACCACACTGGAGAGAAACCCCATTCTCTTGATTGGGAAGCGAGAAAACGAAGAAAGAACAAAAAAAAAAGCAAAGGGAGGAAGATCGAGAGAAATGAAAACAAGGGAAACAAAAAAAAAAAAGCCAGAAGGGATCAGAGTCTCGAAACGGTAACGAATGAGAGCGTTCTGCATCAACCGCCAAAACGAGGGACGAGGATTTTGCAATTTGTATTTATTTTATTATTTCGTTTATTATTCCAGAGTTTCAGATATTTACCGAGACGCCATTGGATAGTAAATGACGTCAATACCCCTCTCTTGTTGTTCGTGTTCGGTTCACCTAATCACCTTGGAATTTTCTGGGGTTTTATTTAATGAATACTAATGGCAAATATATTAAATGATCCCAAATTTAATTTGCAGGATTTTTCTAGTTTTGTAAATATCACTTGCGATTTAATGGGTTTTGTTTTTCATGTTTTTTATGTGTGTATTTATATACTAATTAAGATTAATGAAAATTAAATTTTGAAAATTATTCTCACAATTTATTATCATTCACATTTTTCTTACATTTCTGTAGAAATTATTTTATTTTCTTATATAAAATTGAGTCGAATCAAATAGATTATATGAAAATATGATTTTTTGAAAATTCAGTTATTTATTAATAAAGATAACAAAAAATAAATAAAAATCAGGTTGATAAAAGTAGAATCCATAAATATGATGCAGATATTCTTTTATTATATATCTCAATCTCATACAACAAAATCTTTTACATTTTTCAAGTAATAATATTTCAAAAAATTCAAGTGATAGAGAAAGAAAACGTTTTCGAATATTATGCCTATTATTTTTAAATTAAAAAAATCAATAATAAGACCATTAAAACAATGAATTATCCAATTTAGGTATAAAATAAAAACCATTCTTAACAAGTCGAAAATACAATTAATACGCCTTCAGTTTTAAATTTACTGATTAAAAAAAATCTATATCTAATAAGAAACACGCTAAACTATAAAATTAAAACTTAGACTATTTCATTAAAATAAAAATATTTCGACGGTCAATTTCAATTAGTAAGAAAAATCAAACTATACTTGTTATTTTGAATTTTCAAACTCTTTTTGCAAAGAAAGTTATATCTCTGGACCAATTCCATATCATTAACCTGATTAACTATCAAAGACAAAAACCAACAAGTTATGTTTTTATTTATTCTTGCGTTTCATATATATATATATATATATGTGTGTGTGTGTGTGTGTGTGTGTGTGTGTGTGTTAGACAAATATACAAATTTAGATAATGTCGAATTAATAAATAAATAAATTGTATGCACCCCACGTGTAATTGTCAATATTTATTTGGAGGATAGGACGTCTTCTTTTTTTTTTTTTGATAAGAAGGATAGGACATCTTTATGCCACGGCACGACGACGATTTGGTTGGATATGATATTTAACACATAATACATATATACATACAATTAATTTGTTTTCTTGTGTTTAAATACATATAATATAATGATTAAGAATTATATTTTGCATTTTTTTTATAGAACATAACGGGTCTTGATTCGCATCAACTTCATTTGATCTGTCGAGGAGACATCGAGATCTGTGGGAATATATTCAAAGCATATATACATACATACATACATACATACATATATATATACTCCTTTAGTACTATATATACAGATACCATATTTTAACATGATCGACGAATATAATTTCTTACAATACACATATATACACACATATATATTTTGATACCCTAAACCCTAAACTACCAAACTAAGAATTACGAAATCGAAATCTGCCACGACACTTCGGTTGATGTGATATATACATGCATGTGTGTGTGTATATATGGAATCATTATGAATTTGGGTTGATTGATTTGGCAAATATATAATCCAATTTCGAAATGTTATTTTCATCCACGACCCACACACCACGTCACATTATTCAAATATTATTTGTATGATCCAAAAAATTAGACCAGTTCTAATTCAACATGAATATTCGGATCCCTCTAGAACCACACATGCCTAAGAAATATGAGAAAATAAATGCTTCGCATAGTAAAATTATTTTATCTTATAACCAATTAATTTATGTTTTTTTTATATAAAAATGATATATTAGAATTTTTTTCCCCTTGTAACATAGTTTGATTTAAGTCGGTGTTAAAGTTTTCAATCTTCTTTAGGAAAAAAAACTAATTTATTGTCATTGAAAAGATATTTTTTTATTTCTTCCTTAACTATTAGAGAGAGAAAAAAGTAAAAATAAAATTCATCTACTGAAAAAGGAATTTCCTTTAGTTTTCGCTTGTCAAAATAAAAGGAAACACTTTTTTTGTAAAAAAGAAATTTAAAAGGTCAAAATATTATAATTCCAAGGGGGAAGAAAAAAAATACATGAGAAGAAAAGGAAACAAAAATAAATTTAAATGATATATTTTTTCTAATTTTCATCCACGCTTCATAAATTACGAAATTAGGTCCGATGTGTAAATAATTACCGGAATTAAGGCTTCACAAATAAAGCCCATGTTCTAACTTATGTTACAAGAATCAGCCCAGTTTGGGTTCGGGTTCGGGTTCCAAGCCCAACTATAAATTTAGTAATTTATTTCCTTTTTGGATTTGTAAACCAGATTCAATGAACCGTATTATTTAAATATTTTTGTAATTGGAAAAAATATATATATATATAGTCGAATTTTTTTAATTTTTTTCCTAATTTATCCACTAGGTCAATTAGGTCAAGCCCACAGTGCGTCTTGGACCGACGGGGAAAAAAACAAAACACTTACATTTATTCTGTAATCAGTATTTTAAAATTATTGCAAATTAGATTGGACGGATTCAACATATATCTCTAACTCTATTCGTATTTTCTTTCTTCCCCAAATGCAAAGTGATCACTTTTTTTTGTAACCGGATATTCTGAACCGAAATTCAAACTAATTCTGGAGTCGAAAGCAAACCATGTAATTGAAATTACATTTTCCTTTCATATTTTTAATTTGAAATTCAAACTCGAAACGAAACAGATCTTTCACCGGTTAAACTATCTAAATTGGGTTGCAAAAGTATCACTCATTTCAAATAAATGTATAAATATTGTGATATTTTTTTTTCTTATGTTTTACATATTTAGTTGATTGACATATATATATACATATATATATATATAGTTAGATTACAAATAAATCTTTTTATCAACTATAGGAGGAAAAAAAGTATACCTAATAATAACCAAGTTACGTTAAACCCTACTAGAATTATGTATTCATAAAATTTAATTAGACGGACATATTGTACCTTTTATTTCGTTAGCATAATTATGCGCAACATCTAATTAAAATTGAAAAAAAAAAGTTGTTTAAATTTCACCCATCAAGGTATTATAGGTGATCAATACTAAGAAAAAAAATAGATACCCCCAAGAAATATCGGATAAAATATGTATAAAACCGAAGTCGATTTTCGAATTATAAAAAAAAAATCGAACCAATCCGCACTAAACCAGAAATTTGCCCCTAATACCGTCAACTCGTTCATCTGAAATTAAACCAAAACTTAATCCACGTTAATTATAATTATGACATGGAGGTGTGGGGCCCAAAGATAATTTGGGAATAAAAGAGTTTTCCTTCCATCATTGGTTTACCAACCTCGCGAATAAGAATGCAATGAAATAAAATAAAACATCTTATTCTTGTGGTTGTTGGGAGGGTGGACCGGCTGCCCTCTTCTCACTGATCTTACCCCTCAATTACATCACCCTATTTTTATGGTCCCAATCCTATCATATATTCGACGTTTATTTCTTTTAAATTTATAAAAAAAAATATGTACCTAATGATTATTATATCATATTTGGTTCGGTAACTTTGGGTTCGATTCCGATTTTATTAAGAACATTTTATATATTTTTAAAAAAAATTAATTTTTTGGATTTTTTAAAATTCAATTCGGCTCTATTCGATTCATGGAAATTCGATTTTTAAAAAATAATACCTTTCGAAATTTTTGGAAGATTCGGATTGAGAAAAATGTCATATTTTTCGATTCGACACAGTTTTGGTTCCGAGAAACTGTATCAAAACGCCCACCCATTCAATTGTCATACTACCGTCTATCTATCTATATCTATCAATATATCCCTTCTCTAATTTTGTTTCATGTTAATGCCAATATTCATGAGATATAATGATTATTCCCGTTGTTGAATGGGAAATTAACATGATATGATCCATATATTATAAGAGAGAGAGAAAAAAAAAACAACAATAAACCCTAAAGAAAGATGAGGGGTATTATGTAATATATGTATATGTATATATGTATGTGACCATGGTTGGTGAGAATGTAAAAGGATTGACCCAAATCTCACCAAACCCATCCCACTTTGATTTCATCTTCATATATTTTGTGTTTGTGTATAAGCTTTCCACTATCCCTTTTCCTTTGCGATTACTGAATTCTTCCATTTCATATTTAATTTATAAATTCTATTTATTTTAATAATGTTTTAATATAAATAATTACATGGGTTCCCTACGTGTAAACTATGAAATTAATTGTAGTTGAAGGATAAGCGTAACACATGCATGATGTCATGCAAACGATATAAGGATAACGTCGAATGAGATATTTGGATCAATTGTGTATTCAACCAAAAAAAAAAAGAAATAATTTCCAAATTATATATATATGACTTGTGATCCACTCTAATACCATATGTAGAGATAGGTAAAAGATAATTCAAGTATATTTCAAAATAATAATAAAAAATGGTATATAGAAAATTTATACTATCAAATGAAAGCATACCATGTGTTTGATATAAAGATGTAAAGAGTCATCGAATGTCGATTTTAATTTTTATAATATATAGTGTTTGTATATGTGTCCTCAGATATACCTCGAATAAAAAAAAGGAAATAAATAAAAACGTGGTATGTATTTATTCTGAAGATTAAGAATATTATTCCAATATAGTAAAATTCTGTGTGTACTTTATTTTATATTACTGTCTTGTGTATGTGTGTTTACACATTCAGATACATATACGATTCTTGTAACGTACTGTTATAATTTTATTTTTATTGAAAAGAATTTCCTCTCTTCCAATCTATAATCAATCATCATTATACATTTTTTTAACTTTAAGAAATCATTGTGCAAAAGCGACCGCTAATAATTGGCGTCGTTTCTTTTAAGGACGAAATATATATATATACATATATATATATATATATATATTACATTTTGGCATGAAATAAGCATATGAATTTTAAATAATTATTTTTTGGACGTCTGCCCATTTTGCTATGGTACCACCACCCACCCCGCCCGACTCGACAAGTAAGGCATGCATCCACATTGATGACACGTGGCATATTTGCAGCCGTCAATATTCATGAAGATCTGACGGCTGATAACATATTTCAACTAACCCACACCTGCCTACCCCCTCTTTGTGGTTCTATTTAAAGCCTCCAATCTGGCGATCTCTTCTCTCAGGGGATTTTCACGTAAATTCTACCCGAAAATTTCCTGAAATTCTTCTTATCTTTTTCTCTTATTAAGAAATATATAACTGAAATAGTTACATACATATCTCACACACATTGTATGTTACTTTCTTGTCCCTTGGTGCAATAATATCACGAGAGAGAGAGAGAGAGAGAGGTAATCGAAATCGCAGATTTTCTCAGCTACTTTCTCGCCAGCCAAACAAACCCTACACGTTTTTTTTCTTCTGATTTCTCTCTGAATCCTCGATTTCTACGTCCGGGTCGTCGAAAGATCCGATTTTGCCACGTGGGTCGACGTCAAAAACCATAAAAATGGAGTTTTGTCAACAAGCCAACAACTACCACACCTCCTCCGTCGCCGCCGGTGATGTCTCCGGCGACCCGCTGAACTGGAACGCGGCGGCGGAGGCTATGAAGGGGAGCCACGTGGAGGAGGTGAAGCGGATGGTGGAGGATTACCGGAGGAAGACGGTGAAGCTCGGCGGAGAGACGCTGACCATCGGCCAGGTCGCGGCGGTCTCCGGCTTCGGAGGATCGGCGGCGGCGGCGAAGGTAGAGCTGTCGGAGGCGGCACGTGCCGGCGTGAAGGCGAGCTCGGACTGGGTGATGGAGAGCATGAACCGTGGTACGGACAGCTACGGAGTCACCACAGGTTTCGGTGCAACTTCACATCGAAGGACCAGACAAGGTGGCGCTCTTCAAAAGGAGCTCATTAGGTAATTTTATTTATATAATTAATTGATTAATTAACCATTTTTCAGCGTTAATGATATTTTAAAATTTCATATGTGCTTTATTAGCCGAGACATGTCCCCGGATTTAATTCATGGAACCAAACACTTCTTGAGTTTGAGTTGGAACTATATATATATATATATATATATATATATATATACATCAGGCTTTTAAGGATGGTGATTTAGGTAGCTTCTTGATTATAAATATAAAAAAATTAATTATAATTATATATGACAAATTAAAGAGTGTTAACTTGATGACCTCTCTACATAGCACCTAATTCTTAGGTGAAATTGTATTTAAGTTGACGTGAACGCTTTGCATGTCTTTACATCCTCTCTTTCCCAGTTTCTTGAAGTTATAATTTAACACAAATAACGTTAATTGAAATTAAAACGCCATAATTAAATCTTTATACACATAGATAAACACACATGCATGCATATATACACACATGTAATGGTGATGCAAGTACACACAGATTAAAATTTCCCGACAATAAGTAATGTCGATTTTTTGTTGTTGCATGTAGATTGGTTTTAACCTGCGGTTCTAAAGTCAAGCCAAATATGTCGATTAAATTTAATTATAAATTCTATTTCCTTTTTTTTTTAATTTGGTTTCTACTGTAACAAATTTCCAAAACATCGATTCGTTTTGTTTAACCTCACTCTCTTGTCACTGATCCAAAAAAAAAAAAAAAAAAAAAAACAACAACGCCGCGCAGATTCCTGAACGCCGGAATATTCGGCTCCGGCGATGCCACGTGTCACACTCTGCCGCACGCGGCGACTCGGGCCGCGATGCTCGTCCGAGTCAACACGCTCCTCCAAGGGTTTTCCGGGATTCGATTCGAGATCCTCGAAGCCATCGCCAAGTTCCTCAACCACAACATCACTCCCTGTCTCCCTCTACGTGGGACCATCACTGCCTCCGGTGACCTCGTCCCTCTCTCCTACATCGCCGGACTACTCACCGGCCGACCAAACTCCGTCGCTGTTGGACCCTCCGGCGAGACCCTCTCCGCCGCCGAGGCCTTCAAGCTCGCCGGAATCGAGGGTGGTTCGTTCTTCGAGCTGCAGCCCAAGGAAGGTCTCGCTCTGGTCAACGGGACCGCCGTGGGGTCGGGCTTGGCGGCGACGATTCTGTTCGAAGCCAACATCCTGGCGGTTCTGTCGGAGGTCATGTCGGCGGTTTTCGCGGAAGTGATGCAAGGGAAACCGGAGTTTACAGATCATCTGACGCATAAACTGAAACATCATCCTGGTCAGATCGAAGCTGCTGCGATCATGGAGCATATTTTAGATGGAAGCTCTTACGTCAAAGAAGCTCAGCGTCTCCACGACATTGATCCTCTTCAGAAACCCAAGCAAGATCGGTATGTTAGTTAGCTAAAGTCTCTGACTTTTGATTGTTTTCATCTGAATTTCAGGTTAAAGTTTCAAACTTTGATCGGTTTTTCAACTGTTTTGTCTGGTTTAATCTGAATTCTAGGTCATGCAATTGGTTAGATTGTTGAAAGTCTGGAACTGTGATCATTTTTCGGGTGTTTTCGTTGTTTTAACACGAATATCGGGTTTGCAGGTACGCTCTAAGAACGTCACCGCAGTGGCTGGGGCCTCAGATCGAGGTTATAAGAGTGGCGACGAAGATGATCGAACGCGAGATTAACTCTGTTAACGACAACCCTTTGATCGATGTTTCGAGGAACAAGGCGTTGCACGGAGGCAATTTCCAGGGGACACCGATCGGAGTCTCGATGGATAACACTCGGCTCGCGATAGCAGCGATCGGGAAGCTCATGTTCGCCCAGTTCTCCGAGCTCGTCAATGATTTCTACAACAATGGTTTGCCCTCTAATCTATCCGGCGGACGAAACCCGAGTCTCGATTACGGGTTTAAAGGCGCTGAGATCGCCATGGCAGCTTACTGCTCAGAGCTTCAGTTCCTGGCTAATCCCGTGACGAACCACGTTCAAAGCGCCGAGCAGCACAACCAAGATGTTAACTCGCTCGGGTTGATCTCGAGCCGAAAAACCGCGGAAGCAGTCGAAGTTCTCAAGCTCATGTCGGCGACTTACTTAGTCGGGCTGTGCCAAGCGGTCGACCTGAGACACTTGGAGGAGAATCTCAAGAAGGCCGTGAAGGCGGCCGTGAGCCAAACCGCGAAACGGGTGCTAACCGTCGGGACGAACGGTGAGCTCCATCCGTCTCGGTTCAGTGAAAGAGACGTCCTCCAAGTGGTGGACAGAGAACACGTCTTCGGCTATGCGGACGATCCCTGCAGCATGACCTATCCTCTGATGCAGAAACTAAGGCACGTCCTGGTCGACCGCGCCTTGGCCGACCTCGAACGCGAGGACAATGCCGCGACCTCAGTCTTCCACAAGATCGGTGCGTTCGAGGCCGAGCTGAAATTGTTGCTTCCGAAAGAAGTGGAACGTGTCCGAACCGAGTACGAGAGCGGTACGTGCCTTGTCTCGAACAGGATCAAGGAATGCAGGTCGTATCCGCTGTACCGGTTCGTGCGTGTCGAGCTCGGGACGGAGATTCTCACCGGAGAGAAAGTGCGGTCACCGGGAGAGGAATTCGACAAGGTTTTCTCCGCGATTTGCGGTGGAAAAATCATCGAGCCGTTGTTGGAATGTCTCAAGGAATGGAACGGTGCTCCGATTCCGATCTGCTAAAAGCATCCGCAGAAGACAGGAATCTCGAAACAAACCATACGCCGAAAATACTCTTTGATCTTCTTCTTCTTCTTCTTCTTCTTCTTCTTCTTCTTCTTCTTCTTCTTCTTCTTCTTCTTCTTCTTCTTCTTCTTCTTCTTCTTCTTCTTCTTCTTCTTTACACGAACATTATCGTACTCCGAACTGTAATTTCAATGTTATCTGCTCTGTTTTTTTTTCTTTCCCTTCTTCTCTCCGCTTTCAACGATGCTCTGTTTTGAAAATGCAATGTATAAAAGAATGGAGTTCCGTACACATGCAGTTGTTCATATTTTCAGTTTCTCGTACGTATTTTGTAAACTTCTTCCACAAGCAACTGATTAGGGCTCAGAATTGGGCCGAACCCACAACTCTTCAACTTATACGGGTTTCGGCCCATTACTTATTAATGAGAAGCCCATTTGTGATTTCGGCCCAATATTATGTCTGCTGTTTTTTTTTCTTTCACAAAATAACATATATTTTTTTAAAGTATAACTTCAAAAATCGTTGTAAATACTTGCTGGTCCAACTTCCAAGTTCAAACTATTAATTTTTTATATGCTATTCTTTGCTGGAACTATCTTTTTATAAGAAACCTTAGTTTGAAACTTGATGAATGATTCTAATTTTCATTTAATGATATTGTTATTCCAAAGAAAATCTAAAATTCATGTATCTATATAAAAATCTTAAATCATTAATAGATTTATAAGGCATTTTTTAAAAAAATTAGGGATTTTTCACAACTTTATATATATATATATATATATATATATATATTGTTGCATATATTTTGTGTACGATTTAACTAGTTTAATATTTCGTGAAACTAAAGTGAAAAAGGGTAGCGGCCAAGGAAGAGTGTTACCAAAATTATAACTAAAACATTTATATATGACAAGAAAAAAATAGATTAATTATGCCAATATATGTAAATAAAGAGGCAATTTTGTGCGTATGAACAATTTATGGCAATGGTGATTGGTTCTGTGGAGCAGCGTCCACAAACTGAAACAACGAACATGAAGAGAAAAGAAAGAAAAAACATGTCTCGAAGTCACATCTACAAAGACAATCAGAACTACGAGATCCTGCAGGGTTCTTCTTTTGAACAACAGAACCAGTTTCACCTCTCCAACCCCTGTTTCTGATACAGTTCAGTTCAGTTCACATAATGTCCGGTTTTCCTTCTATGGCGGCTGTAATCTGAGACGAACCTGAACGAAAGTCCACAACCCTCGACCTTGCATTTGTACGGACGCTCTCCTGTGTGCAGACGCAAATGCTCGGTCCTCGCCCATTGCCATTTGAACGTCATCAAGCATCCTTTCCATTGGCACTTGAATGGTCTATCGTCATTATGCACACGCTGGTGAAGCAACAAGTATTTGTGAGCCCGGAATTTCTTACCGCAGCCTTCGTGAGTGCAACGGTTCCTCCTGTGCATTTGTAGATCCGCCTTCCTCTCAAAACTCATCTTGCATCCTTCTAGGTTACACCCATGGTGGTGGCTGGTCACGGCTTCTTTGTTATCTTGGCCACGACCCGAGTCAGTGTTTGAAGTTTTCTTCACCTTTTTTGATGTGGGTTTCTCTTTACGGGTCATTTCACCTATGTTAGCTGGAGTTCCACTTGTTGATTCTCCCCTTACCCTTGGCCTCAGCCCTTCACATGGGCTCCTTATAAAGCTAGAGCTCGTCTCTGGATTGTTCTTCATCTCAGCCTCTGGTTCAATTTTCCGCTTCTTACCTTCCTTAACCGAGTCACTCTTAGATGTATCGATGACCTCGGTGTTCTCTGGGCATGCAACTTCACTGACATTAGGTAAATTCTCTGTGCAAAGCTCATCTTCTGAAGTTTTCGAGCCATTCAAAGGAGCTCGATCATCATTTCTTATAGCGTGGTTATGTGGCAGAGATTCGTCATCTTTAACCCTTTCAACATTTGATTTCTGACTGGCATTATTTCCTTCTGGAACTTCTAATCCCACTCGAGCAGGCGAATCTTCTCCATTACAGCCCAGTCCAGGAGTTGGGGATGAACCCTTCAATGAGCAAACAGCCCAGTCTCCCTCCATCTCTGTGCAAGCACCAGGGATGGCTTCCTCATCGGTAGGTTCCATTGGCTGTGACTGCAGTTCTTCATTCTCTCTATTTCTCACTCCAAACTCTTCCTTCAAATCTTCTACGGTCCCGTCGTTAATGCTGGTCGAGGAATAAACTTGCTGCACACTATTTATAGCAGTTGAGAGATCAGAGACCTCATTGACCATGCTAGAATTACTTGTGATATTCCCCCCAGAAGCAGAACAAGACTCATCAGTGACCTTGGGATCTTTTTCCGCACGTTCTTGCCTATGTGATAGAATAAAAGGTGTACCATTTGCACTTGCCAATGCTTGCCTTTGCGAGCTATCATCAAGTTTATCAGATGTGCTACCAAGATCTTTAGATTTAACTGCAGAATCTACTTCCGGATCTTGTTTGGGTTTCAACTTTTTCCTTCTCGAATACTGGATAATCTTTTCTTCTTTTCTTCTCACAGTAGAATCCAAATTCTCCCGGAAACTTCCATCTACTTTAACTTCAAGCTGTTCACAAGGTGTGTTATCGGAGGTACAACTGGGCTTAGCTTTTGATCGCGATCTTCTCTGCATCCATTTGATGCTTGACAAATCCTGGCTATCCCTTGTACTGGAGAACAATCCGCCCAAAGACAGAGCATGATGAATTTTCTTAGAAGGGGAATTCTTCCTAACCTTAACACAGTACCGTAGGTTAATGCCAAGTTTTGAGGTCCAATCTTCTCCATGTTCATTGTTTTCCTCGTCTTCGATTGCAAGATCAATTAAACCCAAATCTTCTCGGGATGCAGTCTCTAGCGGAACGTCATTATAGTTAAAAGAGACATTGACCTCCTCTGCAACTACGGTAGCATGTGCCCTGATTTTCAGAAAGTCTGCAACAATTCCAGACAAGTTACAGGAAGACAGTAAAACATGTCTAAAGAAGTTACATATATAACAAGTTCCATTTAGACAAAAACCAACATGAGCTTAGATTCATGTTAATTAAATAAATAGTAGTGACATGGTGCAACGAGGACAACATCCAAACGATTATTGCAGCTAATCAGATTTTACCTATCAGAATTGGTGGTAGACGGTGAATTTCTACCGAATGTTATTTGGAATCAAATTAAATAGTAAAAGATGCTACACACATCTTACCTTTATGGCAAATTACAAGGACTTTCACTCCGCCCCTTAAGCGCACTAACTTCTGAACTTCGACAGCATGTTCCAGGCAGAAAATGCGAGGCCTTGAATATCTACAGGAAGTATTCCATCCACACTCAAACCTTGATGGGGCTGGTATCAGTATTTCCTGAGCATCTGCAAACAAAAGATGGACCAGGGAATCCTTAGGCTAAAGCACTAAACTAATGAAAACCTTAAAATGCAAAATCAAAATAGATGGTGAAGGAGGTAGCTTGAATCAAAAGTTCAAAACCCATTTCAGATCCCTCATCACTGAGAGACTTTGGGGTTTGTGGTTGAAAGAAAAATGGAGGGATAAGAAAGAAGACAAAACTCCAGGAAAAAAACAAATGGGGTGAATGTGAGACACAGTCTGCTACCTAGGTCTGATCCCTCAGCCAAATCTTTTAATGTTTTTTCAGATGGTTGTACCACAGCCATAAAGGGGAAGCCGAGAGTGCCACAAGCTACACATGGCAATGTTCCAGAGTCAACTTGGAAATCATTTAGAAGATCGTCATCATCATCATTGTCATATACATCACTCAGCTTCTCCATGAACAAGCTCAATTCCTCCAATAGAGTAGTCTTCTTGTCATTAGTCTGTGTTTCAGAATGACCCTCAAATCCGCCTTCTGACACGGCTGACGATAAAATGGTAGTAGTGACAGTAGTTAAAGCAGCAGTTGCAAGAGACTCTGCATTTTGCCGTGGAAGTAAATCAGGGTCCCAGGACACCAATCGATAACCTGGGTCTAGAATAAGAACAGATAAAATCTTGTTTTCATTCAACATGTCTTCTACAAAAGCCTTTTTCACAAGGAACTCTCTCTCCTCTCTTTGGCGATCTCTGAGACGAGAACTACGAGCACCTGGCAACAGTGATCGTGGCACTCTGGCAAATTTAACATTACAGAAAGATGAGAATACAACATAAATCCAACAAAACTCAACATGTTAAATGGATCAAGAATCCATGTAATCTTGCCTTGAAACAAAGGACATGGTCAAGAGATAGAGCAGCTGCTGATGGGACAACATGGGGAGGTAATTCATAGCAGCGCGACGCACAGCAGCTTCCTTCGCTATGTTTAGCCACTGCGGAGTTCCAAAGTTTGCAGCTTCCCCGCAGTTAAAACCTAGATAATGTTACATTGAATCTGCATAGTTAGAGATTCTGAAAATCAGCAATACTTATTCTATGCCAATTTTGCTACTTTTACCAAACATCTGACCTGTCTATCCAGAGAGCAGTATTAAATCTTTGTCACTTAAAGTTCCTCTGCTTTCTTGATTAATTTAATCATCTTTGGCAAAGCAGATTAAATTATTACTGATAATGTTTGTGAGTAGTATTAAATATTTGCCACGTCATTTTTCTGAACATTGCACAATGCGAAAAATTTAATGCAGAGACTGCAGTCACTGGGACTCCAAAGAATGTTAAATGTTTGACAAAAACAAATTACCATGGCTGAATCCTACATGATAAGACCTCGGAAAAGTCACGACAAATTCACCAGGATTCTGTATTAACCTGCGTAAGAAACAAATGTAGATATAAGTAGAAGATAAAGATGATAAACACCTGAAGCTTAACATCCACATGTTTGAAATTTAAAATATAAAAGTTTATGCGTGGAAAACTCAAAAGTATAATAATCAGGGATTCAGGACAAATAAAAATGGAGAGGAAACAATTCATTCGAGTATTACATAAATGGATGGCAATAACCTTAAACAACAAAACCTACCTACAACAAGGAATGCCGGACGCAACTATCATCTCAGGAGACATGAGAGTTGTCTTTTCGCCTAGTTGTGTGAGAGCAGCTGAGAGCAGCAAAACGTAGATATGATTTAAGAGAAACAAAAGCACCATACTTTCAGGGAAATATTGCGATATTTCATATCTATCGTATCCTTCATCAAAACAGACCTAATACATTCCTCCAAGAGTATAATTTTTTTAATAACAATGTCAACATTAGGAGCATATTTTATATGAAATGAACAGAACTGAAATGATGCTATTCAAAGAAAAAGTCAAATCAGGAGTAGGCATAACAAAGCAAAGTAACCATTCATCCAAGAAAAACCATCTATCACATTTTTTCTTTCTACCGAATATACATTTCTAAATTCAACTAACCCCATAAAGAAACAGCCCATCCTCTTGCATAATGGTTATCAAAATGAACATACCTAGTTGGTCAACATGTCCACCGTAAGCCTGTTTGCAGATAATCTCTTCAAATTCAAATGCATAATCACCGGGGATGGCATACCAAGTCTTTGGCGAGCCAGTGTGAAGAAAATTCAAGCTATGGAGCTCATGATCCTCGACATGCCAAGCAAACCAGCTGAACAACATACCGATATAAATCATGGGGGAAGTAACACCAGGGATGTCGTCTGGCATGAAGCGTGTGATAGAACCAGGTGATCGTGCAATCATCTGAAGGTTCCATGAACTGTTTGAAAGCTTCCAGCCTGCACTACCTTCCATATCATTAGTGAAATCAATGTTCTTCTTTTGCCTGGAGGAATGTGAACCTTCGTCAGATGACAAACTTGGGGAATCAACATTAGTCCTTCCTGTCTCAGGACATAATCTTTGATCATCCTTAAATGCTGGTTCTTGACAAACACTGTCATTCCTATTATTTTCAATTTCGTTTGCTACATCAGCTTCTCTCCTCCTTTGGTAGGAACCCCTCTGTCTCTTCTTCCTCCTCTGTCGGAGATACCGTGAATGACCCTCTGGCTCCCCAAAACCCGAGCCAGGGACGTCATTTGCATACTCTATATATATAGGTTTATTCGAAGCTGCTTTCCAGAACAACGACTCGATAACTATTGGAGATACATCCTTAATCATTCCTAAATGGCTCCGGGAGAAAGCCTTTGATTTAGATTCAAACTGCTCTAATGTATAAACCTCCCCACTTTGCCACACTTGCTTAACACCACCAGATTGAGGGTTACTATTGCTCTCTCCTCCTCTCGCTCTTTTGGCGCTCTGACCTAACTCTTGTTGTCTAGTGGTAAATACAGCCCTAGCCTCCCCATCATTTCCACCATCTGCTTGACCCGTTTTCATAACACCGACATTTGAACCCAGTTCCGGGCACTTCGAAAGAGACTTGTTCAAGTTATGAAAAACATACTTCTTTGACGGCTTAGGATGAGGAGGAATGATCTTGCAAATACCAATGGCACTTGCTTCCTTTTCGATTTTCGATATATATGCAATAGGGTCTGCAAATTCAGTGTCCGTAGGTCTATACACAGGTGCCAATGGCAAGCCTTTCAGCCAATCGGGTATTTCGACATTACCCATCCTAATCCGAACTCAAACTCAAACTACCCAAAACTGCAGAACTGAATCAACAGATAATTCGGACACCATAGCGACAGTATCTTACCACGACACAAACTAAACCCAACAAACTACAGAGTATACACCCAGTGCTCTAAAAACCCTAGATTCAGAATTCCCGGTGCTTACAGAACACAATTTTCTCCAAGTGCCCTTCACGAGAAGCCGCATTAAAGAGTGAAATTGCAGTGCGTAGCGGGTCAAAACGGCGAAAGGAAAAATCTTGAAGAAAAAGAGATGAAACGATAGAACCTGTGCGGTTGATCAACGAAGATGACACGCAAGGGAGAGATGGGAGGGGGGGAGGGAGAGAGAGAGAGAGACTACTACTGAAATTCCTAAAAAAAAATTGTCGGCGCATTTTAGCGTATAATATCGAATGTCCACTAGAGTGTAATAGGCGTCAATTAATATTTAAAATGCGCCCAAGTTCGTGGACCGTGGCGCGGTGGCGGTGTCAACCACTGTAATGTGCGGCCCATTGATTATTCTGCTGAAAGCCATTTGCTTTTTTCTTTTTCTTTTTTTGTAATTACCAATTCTATAATTAATTTATTTCTCTTTTTTTCATCTCTGAGACTTTATAAAAGAATAAAAAATATAATTAATTTATTTCTCTTTTTTTTTTCAACTCCGAGACTTTATAAAAGAATTCAAAAAAAAAGTACACGTACGATGAAAAGTCATATGGCCGAGTAATCCATCCGAATGGAGGAGTCTTTATAAGTATTGTTTGGAAATCGCCGCAATTGAAATCTCGTTATGCTCACAAGCTACGCATCCGACTAAGACGAACCAAACAAATCCCATTTCAAATCAATAACATGATCCCCTGTTTGAAATAAAGATTTGAAGATATAAATTAGGTGTGGCGTTTCGATCCGGTTATTCGGAACCAAATCGTACCAAATCGAAAATTTCGTTATTTTTTTCGAACCGTATCATTCAAAATTTCTAAACATTATGTTTTTTATAGAACCAAATTTTTTGGAATCGAATCGAATTGAACCGAACTTTATAAAATTTTCGAAAAATCCAAGATTTTCTTAAGAAAATCTAAATTTTTTTAACAAAAATCGAAACTGAACCGAATAATATACGGTACTAATTTGATACAAAATTTAAAATACCAAATAAATCGTTTCCGAACCGTTAAAATTCTGGACCAAATTCCGAAATACACAGCCCTAGATATAACCATTCTAAATGCCTAGAAACAAACTATGATAAATTATTGGATTTTTTAGAATAATAAATACAAAATTTAATTGAATTAAAAAAATCTGGGGTTAAATTTACGACGAAAAAAAGGATTTTTAGTGGATTTTTTTTAATTTTAAATATAAGATTTTTTTGTAAGTGAGATAGTTAATAATTTTTTTTATTTATTCTTAAAAAAATGAATGCATATGTGAGCTCTAAATATTACTTTGTATATTTTGTAGATTCTTATATAAAAAAGAATTTAATACATCCAATTATTATTATAAAATTTAGTTCAAAAAATATATATATTTGTATTATGAGAAAATTAATAGACTATTGGTTTGATTTTATAATTAATAGGTTAAATATATGAAATAATTATATTAATATACTAAAAAATATAAAAAAATTTATTTATTTTATAGATAAGTTTAGATTCGTACTAAAATGTCATTACAAAAATCGTACAAAATTATTATTCAATAAATACTTTTCAAAAATTGTCAAAATTGGAATCCATTTATGTAAAATACATCAATAAATACAAATATTTTGTTTATTTTGTAGATTCTTATATTAAAAAGAAATCAATGTATCCCAAATATTATGCAATATTATGATAAAACTTAATTAAAAATATATATTTGTATTATGAAAAAAATTTAATAGACTACATGTTTAATTTTATAGTTGATAGGTTAAATATGTGTAATAATGATATTAACATACCAAAAATATAAAAGAATTCATTTTATGTGTTTTTTGGTAAGTTATTTATATAAATATGTTAAATACTGTACAAAAATTGTACAAAATTATTTATTCAATATATATTATTCGGAAATCACCCAAACTTGAATTCATTTATGCAAATTTGAGTCTTTTGTAATTGAAACTTTATGGAAAACGCAGTATTGATTATATACTGAATTTAAAATACAAGAGAAAATGTGATTATAATCGAAAATTCATCGAGATAATTTCAATATTCATTGTCTTGAGAAGAAAATTGCAATACGATGAAGAACAATTATATGTTAAAGGTGTTTAAGTCGTCTAATGCAATATCTTTTTATACATATATCAGAATTTAAAGTATTCAAACTCATACTTTATTTGAACGACAAGAAAATTTACTGAGCATTTTGTAGGATATGACAAATGAAAGGAGTAGGTAACCTTGATAACCTTCATCAACAAGCAAAACTTGAAGAGATGTATTGAGATATAGAAAACGAGTTATTTACTCATGTCCTTTCATGATTGCATCAACAAACACAATCATATTGTGCTCGCCTAAAATCTCGAGCAAGTTCTGATTCTTTGCGATCAAAGCCTTGGCAATCACCAGTTTCCGGTCTTGGAAATAACAGTCAGTGGCGTGTTGTTTGAGAGCAAAGGGTATGAAATAAATGAAATCAGGACCCCCAACAGGAGGTCTGCACGTTGTTGACGTTTTCCTCAATAGTCATGACTTGTTCAGGTGTCATCCTTAACAACTACTCGTTCACGATTGCTACTTGTACGTGGCTACAGGCTTTCAACAATGAAGTGTGGAATCCATCGATACATGCGGTTATGACTTCAAGATGGCGGTTTAAGAAATCTTTTACAATCCCCAAGAAGTCGATAACAATACAAAATTGGTAAGGCCTGAGTTTCAATTTTTTGCGCTCGATCACATAAAGTTTTATTAAGATGTTAAATAATGTATCAGTGTTTAGATTCATATCAATGCGTTAAATAATGTACAAAAATTGCACAAAATTATTTACTCAATATATACTATTTCGAAAATCACCCAAACTAGAATCCAATTATGCAAATTTGCGTGTTTTATAATTGCGTAAAATGCTGACTTGATTGTTACTGATTTCAATATATCCCAAATATCATGGTACATCGATTGATCTGTCTGGTTTACAACTAAAAATTTTCTTATTATTTATCAAAGTAATGATCTAATCTTTCTACTACAGAATGCATTTCAACTTTCTTTCTTCACGTGGAGCATGATAAGCATTCTTTGTCATTGTTTTCGATTAAATTTCAAATGGTAAGTGATAAAATCGGTTGTTATCTACAATATGAATTCAAACTCAAGAACTGTTTTCACGAAAGTACGATATATGTGATCCGTAGTAGAAAGATTAGATCTTTTCTCTGGCTTTCTACTACAGAATGCATTTCAACTCAAGAACTGTTTTCACGAAAGACAATATCTAATGATATATATATATTTATATTAGAAGTGAAATGGTCATTATTCTTTCCTTGAATTAATATTGTGAAAGTGAAAACATGAGAAAATGATGGTTACAAATCTGAAAATCCATAGAGATGATCCTTGTGATAATACTTCAATATTTATTATATTTCAAAGTTATTATATACATATATAATGTTCAGATGTAATTATTGAAATTAAAATACAATTTTCATAACTATTAACTAAGTGTTTTTCAAAAAGAATAAACGAAAAATATAAATAAAATATCGAAGTGAAACAGGGCAAAATTCGTTCAGAATAATTATAATAGGTTTGAAAACTATTATACACATATATATATATATATACATATATAATGTTCAAACGTAGTTAATGAATTTAAAATACAACTTCCACAACTATTATATGAATGTTTCTCAAAAAAATTAAGAAAAACATAAATACAGTATAAGGACAAAATCCGTGTAGAGTAATTATATTAAACTTGAAAGCTATTATATACATATATAATGTTAGTTTTAAATTAAATGTAATATATTTTATGTTGATTTTATATTAATTTTTATTCTTAAATAAAAAAGATTTATATATATATATATATATATAAATAATAAGATATTATATTTTTTCGAAAATGGATTTTGAACAGTTTCCGTGCAGAGTAATTATATTATATTTTTTCGAAAATGGACATAAGAACAATATTTTTATAAATTTTACAATGCTCTTGACTTTACGAAGGACATACAAATGATTCCTCCTCGGATCTATTGAATATATAGAGACATAATTTTGACAACCTTCCAAATCACAAATATAGACCACTGCATCAATCGGACCCGAAACGACGAGCAAATAAGACCTAACGAAACCTGTGAACAGGATAAAACTGGTAATACATCCAACACTAGGTCCCAGAACACCAAACCATATGAACCAAGCCAAACCGGATCACAACCCATTACTTTTTTTTTTACTTATCGACCAATCTTCAAACCCAACAATCCCTAATTTATTTCATTATTATTTTATTATTTTTAAGGTGTGTGCTATATGAATATTTGAAAAGGATAAAGTTTATTTAAAATTATTTGTTTTGTTGTTTTTATGTCAAAACAAATTTTGTACCATTATTTAGATTTTTTTTGTTTTATATGTTAAGATGATTGATATTTTATGTTATATTTTGTTTGAATATATTTTTTTATTATAAACGTTTCAAAAAGTTTTTCAATATTATAACCGAGGGGCTGAGATGCATTACAATTCAATATATCCTGAAGGAGGTATGATCTCTCTGTATATAAATCATTTTTTAGAACTTGCAGGTATTTTAAGATAAAACTTTAAAAAAATTTCTGGATCCGCCACTGTATACATATATTTGTGCATACCCCTTTTTTGGCTGCGGGTTTAATGGTTTCTTTGTTTTTTTTGGGGGGATAAATTTGGCATTAAAAATAAATCTTCGCTTACGAGTTAAAAGGAAATTCACTTATTAACTTTCCATCTATTGACATTTGCGCACACCGACTTTAATTTGTAGGTACGCCCACGTGTGAAAAGATAGCTTAGAAATAGAATATATGTATTTATTTCACTAGCTTATTTGAAAGTTTAAAATGGGCCGGTGGTTAGAATAACCCAATCAATTTTATAAATGGGCACGTCACGTGCAAAGGTGACCCTTTTGAGAGTTACAGTTTTTTGGACTACTTTGATAACATACTTAGAAATATTTTTCAGTGATATACATATATTCTTAACCTACAATTATCTATTATTGACATCCTTTTTCTTTTTTTAAACTTTTATGTAGTGAATATATACTGTATTTTAGTAGTTTCAAGGCATTCGGTTTGGTGTCAATTTAGGCGCGAGACCCGAAGTCCGGTCCGGCCCGGCCCGAAAAGTAACGGGTTTCGGACCGAAGCTTCTTGATCTAAAAAAAATCGGACTTTTTTGCCGGATTCAAATCAGGCTTCGGGTTTGAGTCGGGCCAATCCGAAACCCCAAAAATAAAAAAAAAAAAGAGAGAAGAAAATAACATTTACAAAGAAAGACTCGCGGGTCGGTCCGTTCCAACCCGATCCGACCTGAGCCCGAAATGCATAGGGCCGAGCTTCGAGCTTAATTATATAGGTCCGAACAAATCGGGTCGGTCCGAATTCGAATCCGAAACTTCCGAGCCAAGTATGAGCTCGGGTCGGGACGGCCCGATTGACACCCCTACATTCGGTAATGGATAAAATATTTGAATAATAATAAATTAACTAACTAAAAAGCAATATGTTCAAAAATAAACTCCAGCCTTACCTTGATTTAGATATATAAAAAAATTGATATAAAAGTTAATTGAACATTGAATTTGAATTGACTACGAAAACCAGAAAGCAAATCAAAGAATAGTTAGAAAATGATAAGATTTTAAGGAAAACAATTATCGAGTTGGATTCAGAATTATTTGAAGTAAACAAAATTTGTATTTAAAAATAGAATCTGTATGTTTTTTAAATAAAAAATAATTAACCTTGACCCCAAGAATTTTATCCTTCCTTATAAAATCATAATAGATTGGAAAATGGGGATAACTAGATGTTAAATTATTTAAAATGCAGTAACAATTGACATAATAAAATGAACATTTGGTTGGCATTTCATTTTATTTTTTTCACGGTCAGCATTTAATATAGTAAATCCAAATGTTGGCACACAGGTCGTCTATTTATTTTATCATAATCCCAATAATAATTAAAATCTATTTACCACAAGAAAAATGATAATATTAAGTAATAATTAATAATTAAGAAAAAAAAGTGGAGGTATAATATTCCCATTAATTTAAAAGAGAGTGAAATTCTTTCTTTTTAAATTCTATCGTGTTCCCATACTAAATAAACCTAGAATTAATCCACAATTTTCCCTAAATCCAATTAATTATGTTATTTAAAAGAGAGTGAAATTCTTTCTTTTTAAAATTCTCTAAAAAAATGGAAGAAAATAGCGTGATGATAGCATCAATGAGAAGATGACACGTGGAAAGATCGCGGCGGGTGTTTGTATCCCTTGAAAAGTGCGTGTTTTAACGATCATCTTAACCTTCCCCGATTAAACCAATGGCGGTGTGAACGTCAAATCTTCCGGCTTTTCATCCTTTGCCTTCTGTCTTCTCAACGAATTCCAAACCTATCTTCTTGGGTTTCTTCCTCTTCTGCTTTTTTTTTCTTTGATCCAAAACTTTTTCATTCTGGTTTCAGCGATCTTCGTCTCTTAGGTTTCCGAGGTTGGTGTTCTACATCATTTTCCTTTTTTTTTTCTTGGGTTAATTCTCTCTGTCTCTCTCTCTCTCTTATTGTATATATATCTTCGACAACTTGGAAAAATTTAGAAAATTTCCATTCTTTAGTTTATTGGGTTTGTTGGGTTTTTGGTGGATTTGTTTTCTTTGGTCTCCGGATGATCATTCTGGGCGGCAAATATAACGAAAGTCGACGTTCTGGGGTTTTAGGGTTTTTGGCGATTTTTGTCATGTTCCGGGGCTTTTGACCCTTCATCCCACGGAAATTTGCTCTCTCTCTCTCTGGGTTTCTAGTTGAATATCGATTCCTTTTGGGTCTTTCTGGGCAGGTAAGTGATATTGTTTCTATGTAATCTCCAAAAGGATGCCTTGTTCTGTAACTTTATGGAAATTCAGTTTCATTATTGTTTCCGGTGAAGCCAAACCTTGTGTCATATACTTCCATGGGGATGGATAAAAAGATGGGTTTCTATGAAAACTACAAAGTTGAATCATTGTATGCATATATCAATTGGTATATACTTAGCATTGTGTCAGATTTTCTAAGGTAGAGTAATTACGAAGTATTGTTATTGCCATTGATCCGTTATGTGGTTCATTACTCAGCGTGAAGGTTGTCTGGTTAGCTTGAGTTCAAGAGACATGATCATCTGTTCCTTTGTTGCCTTTTACAGTTGGCGAGACAGTTCTCGAAAGCACGGGCCGCAACTGAGATAACCTCTTAGCCTATAGAGTAATTGTTATTCTGCGGTGAGATGGGGCAGGAACCTGATCCAGATGTTGTTAAGTGGGGACTTCAGGATCTGGAGGTTTGTACTCTTACCAATGCTGGTTGTTGCGGTAGTGTTACTCGGTATGCGACAGGCACTGTCACTCACGGCTGCATTAGAGAAGGTTACAACGGAGGTTTGACTGGTTATGTAGAAAACGATGAGGTTATTGCTCAGCTTTACCAGGAAGAATTGTCTAGAGTTGCTCAATCAGAGGCATTGGGATTCAATAATCCCAGCCGGTCATCCGTTGTTTCACAAGAATGGCCTCGTTCAGAAGGTGGATATTAAGGTTTCTTGTTCAGAGAATCATCTGTACAGTCATCGGTCAAAATTTTATTTGAAAGAACAGTCCGATAATTAGTTTATGATTATGGATTATTTATTGTCTTCAGGGCAAGAAAATCGAGGGAAAGCCAGTAGTAATCCTGAGGGAAGTGAAAATCGTAAAGATTCTGGTGATATGGAAGATAGCAATTCTGCAAGGATAGGAAGCCAAGAAGGAGCAAACTCCCCTGCACGAGATACACTGCTCATGGATGATGACGGTGATCCTCTGCGTTCTGTAGAAATAGAAGAAGAAGACTCATGTTCGTTGGATAATGAAGTCGGAAAAAGACTGAACCAGATGGTCCCTGTTCCTGTAAGTACATGTCAGCTGCAATGGTTTATATCAACTTACCGAAAGTTTTCGAGTTGAGCATTTTCAGAAAGGGAACATTCTTCTTCTTTCCTGATTAGGCTGTATCAGATTTAATTTTTTGCTAAAACCGGTGTTCAAATGTCTTTTTTTTGGTAGCATGTTCCGAAAATCAATGGAGAACTACTACCTACTGAGGATGAACAGATTTCAGATCATGAACGGCTACTCCAGAGGTAGTTTCAGAATTGGTATATATAAGTTAGGGATCCTGGAAATTATCACTGGATTTCTATTTTTAGCTAATATCTTTCCATCTTTCATTTATACTCACATGGTTCCTTATAATGTCATATTGATGCATTCTACAGACTACAATTGTATGGTTTGGTCGAGAACAAGGTTCAAGGAGATGGCAACTGCCAGGTTTGCTCTTTTCCTCTGTCCCCTTACATATATATTTTTAATATATATGTTAGTGTGTCTCACTAGATTCATATTGTCTCAGTTCCGTTCATTATCAGACCAGCTTTACCGCACTCCTGATCACCACAAATCCGTGAGGGAACAAGTTGTTGATCAGGTTGGACACACTCCAATGAGATCATATCAACGCATTTGGGATTTACGAACTTCTAATCTAATGTTTTTGATTGTTTACCAGCTTGCTTATAATCGAGAGATATACGAGGGTTATGTTCCTATGGCCTACAACGACTATTTGAAGAAAATGAGAAGGTTTCACACTCGGTTCCCACATTCTTTTTCTATAGATTTCATTGTATTGTTTGGACGAAAGCCTGCATTTTCTTTGCGATATCTGGGTGCTTGTCTTCGAAAAAGCAGGAAT